TGCATAATACTCTCCCGTAATTGTTCTTCCCTTCTGCAGTTAGTCAATGAAGATTATGCCATGCGCATCCCAAAAAACGGGGGCCATAACCTTTCTGGCCGAGCGTTAGTCTTTTGGTTGCTTTCGTGGCTTTTCAGTCTCTGCAGATTGCCTATTGGACTCAGGCGTATGGTAATGGACCCACATTTCATCCATCGTCACAAAACGTTGAAAAAAGTTCGCTCGATTACGCTGCAACAACGCCAAACCGGCCATTGAATCATCAACGCGCTGCTGTTTTTGGTCGATGGTCAGCAAACGCGGCACCCATCGTGCCGATAGCTTTTTCATCTCCAAAACATCGTGCAAAATGTATCCCGCCCGTTCTTTTGAGATGCCCACGGTCTCAGTTAACTCGCGCAACTTCACTTTACGATCACTCAAAATTCGATGCACTTGCTTTGCGATTTCCGCATTCGTAGCCTCTTTTGGCCTTCCAGAGCGAGATGCATCTTCGATGCTTGTATGACCCATTTTAAATTCACTAAACCACTGATAAACTGTTGTTCTCGAAGGAGCAGATGTGGGATAACATTTCTGCAACTATTTCAATGATTGTTCAGAAGTATTTCCCATCAAAAAACAATGTTTGATCAAGATGCGATATTCCTGTTCTTCCATTTTTTTTACGAAGGCGAAAGTAACGCCAACTTAAACGACTATAGCTTGTAAACGAATGAACGAAATGTCATGAAACTTCATACATAAACTAATGACAGAACCTCTCGAAATGAATCATGTTCATTTTCTAGTGGCGCCACCTATTGAAAAATCCCGGGACTTTTCAGCCCATGTAGTAATTTAATTCTGCGTCAAAACATTATTATATTACAAAATTACGTTTGCTCGGTTTAGGTGTTACCAAAAATTAAAGAAGTAACAGTATAAAATTAGTACTCGGGTAACATTGTAAATTGACACCTGTCTACCCGTCAGTCACGTTGTTGCACACGGGTGAAAACCGATTCCGCGGATACCTGTATCACACGGGTATCCATGATACGGTACCCATATCATATAGATGCTCACTTTATAGTTTATATATGTAAGTACCCATATTGCACAGATACTCGCATGAAATGGCTAACACATCATATTACGAATAATTTAATATAACAAAATAGCTTACACATAGAAATATTTAAAAATTTATAAAATGTAAAATAATTGTTATAATAACATATTTTTCTACAAAATTTGTGAAGATAAGATAGATATTGATTAAACAATTTTGCAAAAGAGAAAAAAATAGAAATTAAATAAAAAATTACAAAAAAACTATCGGCCGAAAACCTCATGTCCCGACAAAAAGGTTTTATATCAGAACGTATACAAATATTAATAAACAATATAAATATATAAATATGTATACAGTTATAAGAAATGTGTCCATTATATATTCATGTTAGCTTTTTTTTTTTTGAATTCAGTCCGACACAAAAATTAATAATAATGAGAAAACATGAAAAAATTAAAGGAATAATTTTTACAATTCACTGTTACCAGAATTAAGTTTCAGAAAATGAGAAAAAATTGCCATATATTTAAAACAAATTAAGCAAAGTCGTGACTTATTTCGAGCTTATAATTAGACTGACTTTAAATTAATACAATTAACACAATAAGAAGATAAATACTATATATAGTATTTATCTTCTTATGATAATCAAATTGTATTAAGATAGATTACATAAAATAAGAAGAATGGAATACTTCGGTCAAAAATAGATTACTGTAATAAGACATGATGTCCTTCGATAAAAATAATTTTGTCAAATTCCTCGATTAAAAATGGGAATTCAGTTTATCGCAGACTTGAATCAATCAATTTGAGAGTTCAATTGTTACGAATATTTTATGATATATTATATTCTGTAGAACAAAAAGAAGTATTAAAATAATATAATTAGTGTGAATAAGAAATACAGAATCAAACCATAACTCACGTTAATTTGTATAAAATACTTTATATAAAAATCTCAATCGAAGATCTGGTCGAATACATTAAAATTAGAAGTTGACTGTTACTCGTTTGAAAATTGATATATGATAAGACTATTGACTGATATGATAAGTAGGTCAAATAAAAGAGTAAATCAATAAAAACAAGTCTGTTCAAAACTGTGACAATTTATTAATAATTTTTTTTATTAGTAATTTTTATATTCACGTATGTCGTCCAATATGTTAAAATAAGAGGTGTCCAATAACTCAGTATCTTTCATTAAATTTAAACCGTATTTTTGTTTTTTAATATGAATCATTTCAGAAATATTTCTTTTGCGATAATTCTTTTCAAAATCAAATAACTTTTTCCCAATTAAAATTATGATTTGTTTCAGTGATATGTTTCGTAATTACTGAAACAAATCATAATTTTAATTGAATGTTTGGACTGGTCTAATTTTATTATTGTGATGTTCTTTAATTCTTATCTGTAGTTGCCTCTTAGTTTGTCCAACATAAGAGGCATCATAGTTATTACAATTTAATTTGTATATGACGTTATTATTTTTTTTCTGTTGATTTTTGTCTTTATGAACTTTAATAAATTTCAAAAATGTAAAAAATGAATGTGGTTATAATTTCAAAAATATGAAAAGAAAGAGCATAAAGAACCACAGCACAAGATGTAGTTAGTGATATTTAATTATTCTTGCATTACGAATTACAATAAAAACATTAAACGTTTCGGCCACAATCTGGCCATCTTCAGTAAAATTAATAATATTCTTAAGACGCAGAGTTACATCAAGTTGGAATCAAATTCAACCATCGTGTGTTATAATTGTAAAGATTGTGTTTGCATCAAAGCGACGCTGCTTCATATAATAATGTTAGAACGTTAGAAGTAGTCATGTAGTAAAAAGTGTAGAACGAGAGAATTTCCAGATTTTAATTTACAATAATTTATTTTATTATTAATATCTTTTAAAACGGAGTATAAAACAAAGGAAATATTACCTGTTTTACAAAATAATCGATTACAAGTATACTCATTTCACAGATAGAAATTATCGTGACGAACATTATAGATGGCCAGATTGTGGCCGAAACGTTTAATGTTTTTGTTGTAATTCGTAATGCAAGAATAATTAAATATCACTAACTACATCTTGTGCTGTGGTTCTTTATGTTCTTTCTTTTCATATTTTTTAATAAATTTATTAAACTTGTTTGTAAAGTACCTATAGCCAATCATATTTGTTAATAGGTTTAATAATTTTATTGGAAATGGATTTTATATATGGGAAAACCATTAAGTTTCTTAAAACTTCACCATTGTCATCGACATCCGAGCTAGTGTTATTATTTATCATTGAGGACTTTTGTTGGCCAAACTTTCTTTTATTGATACAATTAAAGATCGTTCTTAAAGGATAGTCGTTATCCTTCAAAATCTCTATTATTAATTCTTTTTATTATAAAATGCAGGATTCGACAATAATATCATTCTATTAACAAGATATCAACACTATATATAGTTTTGATCTTTGATATGTGGAATGATTCAAAAAGAAAGATAAATACCTGCCTGTCTTTTTATGGTACCAATCTAAAATAATTGTATTATCTTTATTGACCGATAGATCCAGAAAATTCAAACAATGGTCTTCCTCATATTCAGTAGTAAATTTGAGTCTGTCATGCTGTTCATTAAAAGAATTTAAAAGTAAGTGGGAATCCGAAATTCTAGAGAATTCAATACTCTTTCTTCTAAATCTTACATTGCAATAGATAGATCAGATATAATAGGGGAAAAGGGGAAACCTATAGGTATGCCAAATGTTTGTTTATAAATGATTTCACTAAATGTAAAATATGTTGATGTTAAGACAATTTTAACTGCATTAATAAATTCATCCTTAGGGATGTTTGTAGTACCTTTAATGAAGTCCCACTATTTCTAATCCTAATTATAAGCTCGAAATAAGCCAAGATTTTGTTTAATTTGTTTCGAAAATATACGAGCATTTTTACTCTAATCATATATATTTATATATACATTTTTAATTCTCTATATGTATACATGTGTGGTTGCGCGTGTGTGTGCGTGTGTGCCGCGTGTATACGTGCGTGTACACGATTATATACCAATCAGTCAATTTTTTTCATTTTTCAAATTTAACTTTTTGTGAAGGAAAACAATGCGAAAATTTTATCTTATTAATTATTAATATTTGTGGGGAAAGAAAATTCGCGCTTGATTCCAACTATTGATATTTAATGAATCACACTCAATACAAAATTGAACATTGATTTCGCAGTCGCGACAACATAAATCTTACTCGCTTCGCTTTTTAAGGCCTGGTTGCACTTTAAACAAGTTTTAAAACTCTCTCGTTTTAAAGCGAAAGACAGACAGAGACAGAGAGAGTTTTAAGCCTTGCTTAAAGTCAAAGTAATGTTGATGCAATTGGGCTTAACTCGTAACTTCGGGCACGCGGCGATGTGTGAGTAGACAATAAAGTCGGTATTCCGCGCGCTATCAGAATCGTACTAACATTTTTATTAGACTCTAACAATATTATTCATGTTAATTACTTCATATATTATATTAATATTACATCGCCTAATCATTATTTTTTGGATAAAATTCTATCCATGTATGTTAATTTTTTTTCCATGTAGTTTTTTTTCTAAAATTTCTGTTTATATATATAATTACAATATTTATATTCATATATTTATAAACATGTATTCTTTTATAAACAATTTTTGGTAATTATATACTGTAACGGACACCGCGCCGATGACCTTGACATATGCTGTCAAGGTCATGGCCCTGACTGACCTTCGACAGGTTTTAGGTGGCGACCTTCGTTAAAAAGTTATTAACAAAAAAAATTCAACTATATAACACGAGAATTCCCTGCTTTAAAATATGTTTGATAGTCGTGCACTGTAGGGGACGTCGTGCCGACGACCACGACTTTGACATATGTTATCAAACAGTACAATTATGGAAGTCCGCTCCTTTGCAGGGGAGGGGGAGGGGGGAGGGAGGTGAGAGTTGCTTCGCGTGGAAAGTCGAAAGTAGAGTTGCTGAAATAAAATAGTAGCTGAATGAAGTATAATACATATTTATTCTTTCCTAACGGAAAGATATACCATATAAATTAGACCTTTGAGTGTAAATATCTTAAGAAACTATAATAGTCCGACACTTAGTTGCTAAGGCAAAGTTATTCAGAATCATGACCATGACAATATATAATGTATTAAAGTCAAGGTCATCAGTGCGGTGTCCGTTAATATATACGTCCTAGATTCAGACGCTACGATTCTTTTCTTCGGCTTCACGTCGCGACTATGGTTAGCGTCTGCGAGACTCGAACGGAGTCTTCTGATAACGGTCAGACAGAACTGAAAAGAGGGATCGGACAAGTTCTGTGAAAACTCGTAAACGCCAATCAACCCGGAAGGAATAACAATCTTAATGCAGGTTCGACAAGTGACAAGATTGCAAAAGA